ACAAGTTAAAGGTGTCAAAGTCTAATTCCCCCTTTTTTTGTTTTTGGATGTTTTTTCACAGTCTACTTAGTGACCGATACCTCCCTGTGCTACCTAAAGCAACCCCGGGATTTCTGCTGCATTACTGTAGAAGCCAAAGAGGTAAAGTGAACACTCTCTCTAAAGCCTAGAGGAGTAACTGTTCTAACTCATGGTTCAAGGACAAAGGGGAGAAGAAAGGCAAGTCCATGCTCCTATTTCCAGAAGTAACAGGATAATAGGAAGAAGAACCAGGCTGATATGACAAATTGAATTATGTATAAAAACCCTCTTGTGAATGACAATCATAACACAAGTGTATTAAATAAATAACATGAGAAATATTATTTCTTATTAAAAGAGCTCTTTTAAGTAAGCAATATGAGAAACATGTAAACAAAGAAAACATTACTATATGCATAAATATTTTTTCAAATTGTCTTCTTTATACTTTATCACATGCAGGAAAACTTGTCTGTCCTGGCTGTTCAGTCTGTCTACGATGCATCCATGCCTCACCCCTGTAAGGAAGTGGTGAGAGGGGAGATTTTGCCAAGTGCTTGGATACTAGAACCTGATGTAGTGAACGGAAGAGATATCACCAGAGTTATTTACATGGCACAGGTAAGATTGTGCTGAGTGTCCAACTGTGAATGCAAAAAGCCATTACAGATCAGAACACTTAAGAGCTGGTAAGTAACAAAAAACATAATCCTTATGCTGTGCTCCATGAAGTTATGCAGTGACCATGAAAGTCACCTCCACAGTTATCTAGCATGATGTACAGTAATGCAGAGAGAATCATCGTAGGATTGTGCTTAAGCACATGATCCCAAAGTTTTTACAGCACCTCAAGCTGCTCCCTTGGATCCCAAGACTCTTCTGTAAAGGTTTATCATCAATTTCAGTACATGTTGTGTTCTCACGTGGTAAGCCAGGAGTCATGTTTGCATTTTCTGCTTGCTGTGGACACAGGAACTCCACCTTGGGTTATACTATTTCTGAAATGCATGGAAATACTTGTTGTTAACTTTTTGTATGTGAAGTCATTAATTCTCCACATTCAGTAGATGCAAAAGGTTAGTCAAGATTAGGATTACAGTTAAGAATGAGAAAAATCCTGCCATCCATCACAGACTCATCTGAAAAGTAGGCTCTCTTTGAGACAGTGGTACTAAATACTTAGAAGTGTCCCAAAGAGATAGCATGTGTATAATTTATTTGAAAGTGCTCATCTGAGAGCTAAATGGTATAAATGGTAAGTCCTTTAAACTTACTTACCTATATAAAACATGTTTTTAAGATAAAATTTAAAAAATATTATCTTTACGTAATGAGTATACACATTGTACAGTGCATACATATAATGTATATGCATTTTTATATTTTATATGCATTTTATATTGCACTTTAGTATATGCATATACATTTTCAGTAACACTATATATATATGTATCTGTCTCAAACTAGTAATATTTAATCTAAGCTTAAACTCAAAAGCAGGGTGGGTCATAGCTGCTGAAAGTAACATCAAATACACAAAACCCTGAAAGTCTACGGAGTATTGGGAAGGAAAAGATATAAACCACACAGTAATGAGAGCATCTGGCTGTAAGCTACTTTTGTGCTTAACATATACCTGCAACATCAGTGCTATTCCAGGCTGGAGAAGCGTTTTGTTCAGAAACAAGTGCAAAACCCCCCCAACATGTGACCTTTCTTCTGATTTCTGCAGGTGGATCTTGGTGCCCCAGCTATCCCTGCAAGGCTCCTGAGTTCCATTGCTAAGCGACAGCCTCTGGTGATTGCTCGACTGGCACACTTTCTTGCTAGTTAGTGTTTGGTACAAAACTGGACACTTAATGGCAGCTGGAAGTTCACGAAGAGACGCAAGCAGCTGTAAGGGTAATGTATAATGTTGGCTCATAAGACAGTCACACTCAAGCGTCACTTGAGGAGTCTAGTTGCAAATGTCAGACTATACAACAGTATAGTTAGAAAAAAGGATCATTTATTTTAGCCAACACTGCTCAGAAGAAACCCCCCAAGTTTCTTGGGGAACCTCTCTGGGGGACAGCTGTGGGAAACCTTTGTGGAACAACAAGGAAGGTGCGCTGGCTCTATACGGAGCAGAGGAAGAGACTTCGCTGTACAGTAGCCAGCATCTTACCTGCAGAACTGTATTATTTCATTTCTGTTTCCAAGGAGCTTCAAAGATCAACCTTCTTTCCTTACGGAAGTTTAGGCAGTGGTAGCAATAGAATGCACTACAAACTGGAACCAGTACAGGTATGGCTTGAGACCTTTTACAAGCTCTTGAGCAGAGCTGCAAAGCCACTTTCTAATGTTGAGATAAATATAAAATGCAGAATTGTTAACAGTGTAGATATAGTCAGCTGAGTTAAATAAGTGATTTACTTCCCCTTGAAGGGAAGTTAAAACAGCACGATATCCACTCATCATCCTGCACCCTGGACAGATTTTCCTCATGTAATTAGCTGACTGCTCGCAGCCAGAAGAAGGTATTTCAGATTGCCACTACACTATGCAGCATCAGTGGAAACCACAACACCTCAGGACACAGTTTTACTGCACTGCAGAATTAGGTGCTTTGAAATAAAACCAAACTGACAGTTGTAAACAGTGACACTTTGTCAATAATAGGGAGTAGTACTGAGTAATCAGCTTGTTTCTAGAATTTAAATGCTGCAAATAAGAGTAGCTCCAGCACTTTTCCACAATGGCTTTTTCCATCAGCTCTTCTACATGTTTACCCAAATGTGTTAAGAGTTGAAAATCTTGCCTGGCCATAGTCTTAGTGCCCTTCTTTCTTCATAACATGACCAGCTGTCTCCCTGCAGCGAATACAGACCCTTCCCGTTCAGTTACCTCATGGTGTTTCTGTTGAACTTAGTCCAACAATCTGTGAGGCTTTACATGTTTGTTCAACACCCTCCCTAGTTTAGTCACACACTCCTAAAATTAAATAAAAACACAACCGACTCAAATATCTGAATAACTTCATTTAGGTCTTCAGCACAACAGTAAAGAATCACTTTAGATATCTAAGCAATAAAAGCTGCTATGAAATGCTTTCTTTAGCTCAAAAAAGCCCACATTGTTCAAGAAGCTGTTGCACTTTAAATTTGTCAAATGAGAGATATGTATTCCAAGCATCCGCCTTACCAGAGTCAGCATCTGCCACTTTGACACAGCTGCTTCCAGTAAAAGATGTGTTTTCCCAGCATACAGTGAAATCTGCTGCACTTCCCACCTCTGAGTTCAAGAGCCAAGATGTACTTTTACTAGATCTTTGCACAGGTGTAATTTTGGCTCTCAGCTTCTACGTTACTTCCTGTTATTCATATATGAAGTTTTAAAAGTAAAGATAATAGTTATTTTAAATTGATATTTAAGAAAATAGCAGTTTTGAGACATACCAGCCTCAGGCTTTTTTGCCCGTAAGCTATACCAGGTGAGATAACAAAACCTTTCACTTACAAATTTGTTTTATCTTTAGATGGTCATGTTTATAATCTTAACACCAATAGATTCCCGTTCTCTTCTGGTGAGGCTCAGCCTGTTTTTAAAAGCCTGCAAACTGAGTCATGGCATGGGTCACTTCAAGTGTCATGCATCTTCCATAGCTCCTCAAGGAAAAAAAGGGGCAGCCCATCACAAGTTTTCTGCAACTGAGCGAAAAGACAGATTTCCAGATTTGCAGCCTGTCATGCAGTCCTACCTGCCCTGCCCCCCCCTTTTGGTGGAAACCAAAGAAGATTGAACAAGGCAGTACATAAAAGCCCTAGAAAAAATGAGCAGAAATGGCAGCACCACCTCTTGGCTCTGTCCCTGGTGCTGCTTCCGTGGATTTCCAGAGGAGGTAGGTAGGGGAGGTCTTCATACAATCCTCAAAAGATTTGCTCAGTGCTTCGCTTTTTTTCCCTTTTATTTTGGACATGGCACTAGTGACAAAGCAGTTTTTGTAGGAAAAACATCTAGGGGGACTCCTGTTGATCAACAGTGCCTATGAAGGATAATGTCTTATTGTACAGTGCATCAGATGTTTATTTTTATATATACATAAGATTTTTTTTCTACGTTTACAAATTAAGTTATTTATATATGCTTGTTTTGAAGCGTTTTTATATGCTATCAAAGCTAAGTTTTATTTTTATCAGTATTGAATTAATGTAACTTTTTTTTAATACAACCTGCACTTGATACTAAAAAGCCTATTTATATGAATGTTTTCTTTTGCAAATATAATGCTTTATGGTACCCGTTAATGTACGGCATTGGTTTGTTTGGAAGGAAAAATTCAAAAACCCAGCAGATATCTAATTTGTTAATCTACAATGTGCAAAACCCAACTTCCTGTAAGTTACTGCTGAGCAGTAGATCATCAAACCAAGTGTACTGTACCACCTCCTGCTGCATCTCTGCTCTTAATCAAGATTGCTATTTTCATAGCCACAATAAATGGTATTTTCTACACGAGAAGGCGTGCCCCACGTTATTTTGCTCCAGCTAAGATACACATCTATGAACTATGCTGGATAGAGAAATAACAGAAAAGCTAAACTGTGATAAAAGAGGTAGGTCTCCTCCTTACCTGCTGAGGACTGTGCACGGAATATGAATTTGTGGCACAAGAGTCAAGAAGCCAGTCACTGCTTCAATCTGGTTTCTGTGATGCAGTACCTTGTCCCAGCAAAGGAGTTTGTTTTGGTTTGAAACAAGGCACTGGCTGAAGCTCCTTCCTGAGTCCAGTCACACATCTCCTCTGACCTGCACATCCAGAAGGAAGTTAACATAATGCCACTTTTCCTCATTTTCTTTTCAGAGTTGTAAGTTTGCAGTAGGCACGACTGACAGGAGGAAGGCTGTATGCTCAACCACGGCTGAGTACCAGGGGGTGCCCAGGCATTAGAGTAACCATTACGACATAAGAACATGGAAACAGAGGTGTTTCTTACCTGCTGGTTCCCACTGAAGAACTGATTTTCCACCCAACAGGGCACAATTCTACTCTCTGGAAGTAGTAAACTGCTCCTGGGGATTGCTCACCTTTTAAATAAAGATTTCCAAGCATGTTGTATTAGAGAAGGATAATTCAGGTATGTTGATTTCATTAAAACAGCTGTGGCCATGGTATTTAAGCAAACAGTTTTACAATACCCAGATAAAGTCAGTTCCAGAGCTGAGAGCACTTTTTTAACCATTATTTTAACCATAATGGATTCCAGCTTCTTCCCTTGTCCACCTCCAACCTGCTCACTGCTTTCAGTGTAAGCAAAGAAGCAGCAGGCCAGACAGGAGAGGTTACTGTACCTTCCCTGCCACACGCTTTGTGGCAAGGCACCTTTTTATGCATTGCTGCAGTACAAACAGATTGTATATCGACAGCTGAAACACAAAGCAGGACATGTAATCATGTTTATTATAACAAACAACAACTTCAAATGAGAGCTGCAGCAAACTGTCACATAACAGCCTCGGGGAACAGGCATGGTATGATACGGTGTACTTGCTATTTCAATTGGTATTCCCACATCCTTACAGCATTCGCAGCATGCCTTCTTCTAGGGGCCCACTGCTTCAGGCACCTCAGAGAACCCCTAAAATAAAGCACTGCACAGGGAACACACCAAATCTTTCAATGCGGTGCTTAGGAACCAAGTCACAAAAAAATTTCAGTACAGTTCAGACACTGATGTGCCGCTGTGTTTCTCTCTCTGTAGCAGAAGTATTTTAACAGAAGCCGCAGTTCTACCTGATTAGGTCTGCTTCTGTTTTTTTGTAAATCACCAACTACAAGATGTTACCTTTTCTTGCCTTACACAAGGAAGAGGTAATTTAATTAGCAAGCTAAAAAGCCCTGGCCTTCACTATGTCCAGGTGTTGTTCTTACATAACACAGTATTTGCTTTCTGAAAAAAAAAAAAACCCACCCTGCACTAACAGGACACACTTAGACCAAAGGAAATAATCCCCTGCGCCAGCTAATGAGCACCTAATCCCATTCTGGTAACCACCAGCAGTGCCTACAACAATCCTCAGTTTAACAGGAGGTCACAACCTGGGTGATAATCTGTCCACAAGGGCAGCGAACATCTACAGTCCTCTGCAAAAAAGGATTTATTTCAAAACCAGCTCTCAGGAGGATGTCACAGTGCTTTTTTTCACTACTTTTTTTGTCTGTTCTTCCAGGCTGTAGTATTGTTGCTGCAGCACTTCCTGTGTGATAAAACCCAAACTCAAGGCAAGAAGGATTATTAAAAAAAAAACAAACCAGCGAATAGCAGACAGATGGCATTTATGTTCACATACTATAAAAGTGTCTTAAATACTGTCATGTTTCCTCAGTAAAAAATATAAACTGATATTTTCTCCCTTATTTCTATTAAAAACTCCGGGAAATTACAAGTTCTGTTTCCAATAAGAGATGGAAAAACACTGAAGCATCTATATCCTTTAAGAATAAAGCCATCAATGTTCTGGTGTATACATTTAATATGGTTTAACTTTTAAAGTAAGTCAGTCCTAAAAAAATCAAACCTTCAAAACTGAGCTTACAATGAAAAATAAATATAGGCTCACCTTCATGTCATACAGGTTCACCCTTTCCCTTCCCTGACAGTACAGTCTGTGTTAAAAGAGTGAGAAATCACATTAAGTTAAGACAGACACCAGGAATACACCCTCTGTGGTCAAAAAGTAACTTGTCCGCTTGAACTAATTCCTGGGTTTGGTCACAGCCTGTTGCTGCACAAATACAAAAAGTGTCAATGAGTCTAAAAAAAACGGCTGCTCTGAGCCATGATCAAGGTGCTTAAAGGACTTTTGACTTGGAGATCCATTTGCTGATGTAAATCCTTCAGCCATAATCACCACGGCAAAACATCCATGAACAGCAAGACCAGTGTGGGTGTGCACAGTGACCTCTTATCTGCAGCGTGCTCCCAGCAAAGCGCTCACAATCCATTCAGAAACACTTAACATTCCATTTGCATCTTCATGAGTAAGTACTGTCCACAGGGAGTCCACCACCACTAACTTTGTGCTGTCACGGTACCTAGAGATTGTCTGGTCACCTCACAAGGGTTAGCCCTGTGCTCTTCTGTACGATGTTCTGATAGAAATACTCTGGACAGCGCTTCCAGTTCTTTTAAGAAATCCTGTAACAAACAGATAGAAACCAGAGAACCCTTATTAGCAAATGCCAACAAAGCAGCTTACTTCATTTTTTCTAGTAGAGAACTTTACAAAGTTAAAGGCTTTCCAGTGCAGAAACCTACACAAGCTACAACACTGACTGTAAAGATGAACGCCTGCAAGTTTACATATTCAGTCTTGCCTCTGATCCCCACGCCCTTCTCAGAAATCACCGCCAAGTTTAAACGGTTAAACATCTCCAATGTGCAAGGGCTCCCCAGACTTGAAATGATGTCCATTTTCTGCAAGGGAGTTGGGCTGTTTCCTGCAGTCTGACTTCCCTCACATTCTGGTGGCAGGGGCACAGCGGTTTCAATGCAGGTCTGGTCAGTGAAGACCCTTCCCATCATGTCATTCTCAGCGGGACCACGGCAAACACCTTAAAGCTAGAACTGAGAGCTGGTAACTGAGCCAGCTGGGCTCCAAACTGGTGTACAGTTTTCTTGGAAATGTTTCCAGTGCCTGGGAAATGCTGGGATTCACACAAGTCCAGATTTCAGCCAAGCACTAGTAACAGCAACAAGCCTGTTGGAAGCCAGTCCTCACACTGCATCCAGCAGGAACTGCAACCAGGGGAGGTTATGGGCTTCATCTACATGAAACAGAACTACAACAACTGACTGTTTATGTAGCTTTGCTTTTTATTTCACTTTTCACACACATCCAATTACTTACTGAGGGCCAAGGGAGCTCTTTCTGGCTACGCAAGCAACTCTCTATTTCACTGGTTCTCATTAGTTCATGTTCTACAAGACCATGAAGCATGAAAAGGAACAAATCCCACTGCAGAAGAGAAAAAAATATCAACAACTCAAAATAAATGGATTTTCTGTTCATTTCTTTATCCCTGTACAATTCATGTTTTTCTTCTTGAATCAGAATGTGGAGAAAAGGAGCAAAGAAAAAAGCACATATTTATCTCTGTGTGGCAAGAAAGGACACCAAAGAGCAACACCTAAAAGGAGTGAACAAAATTCCTTTAGTTCATATTTGTATTCTACCATAAAGTCTCAACATTTCTAATTCTCAGTTTCCAAACACACCAAGTATTTAATTCCTCTGGGCTCAAGAACAGCTTGAAAAATTCTTTTCCTGCCTTCCAAAATAAGCTGGTTTTAGCCTGCAACTAAAGAGGGCAATTCTCAGCTTCGTAGTTGGGGATCTTATAACACCGATACGCATGCAAAAACGAAAGCTGGCAGAAGACACACAAATGCAACCAGTTACCAAATCACGTGTGTTCTGTCCTCATAACCTCCTGGGCCACATGGGCCATTTTTCCACTTGTTCCTAAATTAAACTGCGCCTTCCCGACAGCCCCCAGACAAGTAGCAAACACTGACAAGCAGTACGCAGTCCTCTTTTTCTCCACACCAGCAGAAACAACGACAGCTAACAGCAGACCAAGTCCTGCTGGCCTCCTTCACACAAGCGCTCAGGGAACACCGCGGGCAGGCAGAACTCTTACACGAATAGATCAGACCAGGGTGGGTAACAGGCAGCTCCACAGACTGGGATAAGCTTTACCTCTCGCTGTTTAACATCGGCGAGATAACCTATGTTCTTCTTGCTGAACAGCAGCTGCACGGGAACAGGTGTCCCAAAGTCCTCCTTCCAGACAGAAAGCAGCAGTTTCAGAAGGCCACAGGTGGGATTATTCTTTACACGCAGCCTCCCGGAGCTCTTCTCTGGGGACTTGATCCCAAGGCTCAGAGGAACACGATCTGAAACTGTAAAGAAAAGGAAGAAAGGTGAACTTCTACAGCTGCATTATTTTCGTTTTATAGTCTTCATCTTGGTCCAACAGCACATTTTGCATAGCTGGTATCTAAGCAGTCACCGAAGTAACAACACCTGGTGAGGGTAAACCAGTGAAACAGAGAGGACTGGAGCTTAGAAACGTGCAAAATGATGAGCTTTGAATCTATACAAACAAGTATTACATAGAGATCTATACTGCTCAGATAAAGAATACCATTTGGTTGGCATATAGCTTTAATAACAGAGGACCTGGGTGTTACTCCAAAAGAGAGGAGAGTAACAGAGTAAATCAACATCTAAATCCATAAACAGATTAAAGAGTTTTTAACAGTTTTGACTATAGGCAGAGTTGCATAACTTCATACAAGTGAAAGTAAAGCTGAAGTTTAACTGCAGCTAAACATACACAGAGGGAAGATACCAGATCTTCCTTGGTATAGTCAAATGGAATGGGGCAGATTTACATTGCGGTATTTAACACACTAGAGCTCTGGCAAGGGGATTGGACTAGATGATCTTTCGAGGTCCCTTCCAATCTCTAACATTCTGTGATTCTGTGAAGAGGGAAAAAAAAATGGAAATGCTCACAGAAGCCACAATACACAGAAAACACATTACTTCTATTCTCTCCAAAAAGAGTCATAAAAATGTAATTTAAGGGAACAGGCCCTTACTTTTACAGAAGAAAAAAACCTCAGCTGCAACTTTTCAGAGGCAGAAATGCTGGAAAGTGTATTGCATATTTAAATGAATCAATAAATAATAACAAAATGGAGATGTGAAGGAGAACACCAGATCTGAAGGACAGTTAGTCACAACATACTGCTGTTTTGCAGAAGGTGGAAAGGAAGAGGAGCAACCACCCAAATCAACAGAAAGAAAAATCTGACTCAATAACACCAAAGAGAATCAAACATCCATGAGCTCTAAATACTGAAGTCTCTGACCCCAAGGATTTAAGGGAACTGTAATAACAGAGTTCAGTTGTAAATAGCTTATCATGACTGACTTACCCAGCAAAGAAGCCAACTCAACCGTGCACTTTGCCAGCTGCTGTTCTGATGTGGGACACATGAACTGGAAAACACAAAAAAAAAGTTGTATCTTTGTCACCATACTGCAGACTGGGCAAACCAGGGCTTCACAAGGGATAAAAATATCAGAGAAGAGCAGGCAATTTACAGCAAGAAGCACAGAGCTGCAATCAGGAGACCATTAAAGACTGAAAGACAAGAGAAGATCTTTTACGAAAAGGGGATCCATGAAGGTTAATTTTAGCTAACAAGCAGGTCTACACAGCATAAAACAAATGCAGTACAACTTTGTCACATTTGAGCACAGACAGAAACTAGTCAACTGAACTCAACTGTGAGCTGAGGCGAGCTAACAAGTTTACAGCTATGAAGACAGCTCAATGTGGTCCAAGGGGTTTTTTTCGTGCCTTTTTTTTTTTACTTCTACCTTTCTGCAGCGAAGCGTCTGATGCAGTCTTCCTAGCAAGCACTCCAGCCAGGCATAGTCAATCACTTCACCCTCATCCCGTGGGCCCACAGCGACACACAGCACATCCTTGATGAAAAAGCAGCAGTAATTCACCTATTAGTATCCTGCAAGCTTCCACAAACAGCTCTTCGGACCTATGACAGAGCAGTTCATAGGTAGTCCTCAGGTTCTCAAAAAAAAACCCCTAAACATTAAGCTAGTACCCTCCTCATTCTGTAAGACAGATTAAAGCTGAATTTTTCACAACCTTACCTAGGTCTGATTGTCTACCATAGCTCTCACTGACATTGTGAAGTCAATGAGGGCAACAGTTCATTCTTCTTAAGAGTAACTAGCTGCGAAAGCTCTAGCTGAATCTGATAGCACAGCAAGCTCGGGTAGAAGTGCTACAGAAACCTAGAGTCCTCTTAGATTGTCAGGGTAGCTTCAGTGTCAATAAAAGCTAAATATGAAAAGCACTAATGGGTTATGGCATGAAAACTGGTTTAGCAAATTTTACATGTGGTTGCACCTTCCATTACCAGTGACTTACCACCCAATATCAGAAGCCCAGGATGAAAAATCAAAAGAATAAAAAAAAAAATCAAAATTAAAAGCTGTATCTTAAGATGCCCTCCAAAAATATTTTCAAAAAGCAACAGCTTACAGAAAGAGCCCCTGGTTTCCTCACATACCTCACCCTCCTCTTTTTATTTTATCTCAAGCAAGAAAGCCTTCAAGGATGTGCAGTACTCATTCTTATACAACTGCTAGAAATGCAATGACAGTGAGATCCAGTGTTAATGCTCAGACAGACAAGAAGGAGCAAAAAAAATTGTCAGAATACATAATGGTAAAAAAGTGAGGTTTTCAGAATTCTTCTTTTCCCCGTGGGTTACTCACACAGGTTATATAACTGCAAGATTTTTACAAGAGCAGTGACCTTTTAAAAGCCTGGGAGAAAAGACCAAAATGTAATTTGAACCAGCTTGAATAGCAAATTGCGTGTATCTAAGGCCAAAATTAAGCCCATACCATCACATTCTTTTTAAGATACTCTTGATTCTCCCTAATTATACCTGAATGAAAGTGCAGTTGCAGACTTACAAAAATCTTTCAACAGATTTGTACAGATTTATCTGACATTTAATTCAATATAGAATTCCTGGTATATAGGATGGGACAGTCTATCAAGTTTTACAGAAAGGACCAGCAGGAAATAGTCTAAATGGAGACCAAAAGACTCTCCATAAAGAGTAGGTGTACCAAAAAAGCAACCATTTGGATATGCTGACTCTTCAGCACGCAGTTGTACACAACGCTCACCACACTATGGTTTCCATGCTGCTCATATCAAAAAGGCCACTGCCCTGCTACCAGAAATCCTGTATCTGAGATACCACTCCTGACCAGAGAACTCTGATCTACACACAGACAGTGAGCAGGAGGATGAAAAAAAACATCGGACCTTTCCATTGTGCTTCCTAAACACGCCTCACATCCAGCGCCTTAGGAAGCAGAACATCCCCTTTACAAAAAAAAAACCAAAACAACACAACCAAAAAAACCAACAAAAACACACCACACCAAAAAAACCCCAAAACACCAAGGTGAAAAATGACAAGAGAGTTAGGGTAAGCCAGGAAGTGAACACTACATACCTTCATCTCATTGATGATTTGGGAGGGAAACGGAGCAGAGTGCTGACAGCCTGGCGGGCAGTCCCTTCTCAACTCCAGAGCATCCTCGCCAGGCAAGGGAAGTCCTGGGACTTTCAGCATTCTGTTGAAGGTTGCCTTCACTTCTCTTTTGATGAGTGCTACAAAAAACAGAGCACAAATCTTGTCTGTTTTAGCTTGTTTCTCCAGTGAGGCAGACAACTATTTCCAAACACTACCCTTTTTAGCCTCTCATTACGAGGGCCATAGAAAACGAGGAAAAGAGTTTACGCTTTCAAACCCTTCTCACTCTGAGCTCCCTTTATATTTAATGGACGGAGGCACAGGTGCAGAGATCACGTTAACTCACAGCTCTAAAACACAGCCACCCATTACCACCAGGTACCACTGGCAACTCATCTCATTTTCCATCGAAACATTTCAGTGGGTTTAATGAACACAGTAGCTAAGCCAAGAAGCAATGCCAAAGCAGAAAGCTGAATCAGCATGATCAGTTCAACCACCGTGCCCAAGAAAGCCATATGTTTTCTACCAAAATAAGTTCTGACCAGCATCCAAAACACTAAACTCCTGCTGCCGCAAATGGTGGTGGATATTCCTCCCCAGGCTCTTGGCACAGCCTCCTGAAAGAGCGGGTTTTCAGAGATTCTGAAGAGTTGCCAGAGTACTATTACAGAGTCAAAGGACTACAGTTGCCTTCAGCCTGCTGAAAACACATTCAGTCCGGGAGGTGTTTGTTTCACAGAAGATTTCAGACACTCCGTACATGTGGACCATAAGGTGGCTTGAGAGAGCAGTTGTCTGTATCAGGCATTTGAAGTGCTGGCACAACTTCAGCCTAGATGATATTTGCAGAAGCAGCTTTCCACAGAATTCATTCTCACCATCCTATGAGGCTCCGTAACTAAAAATCACTTACATGGGCCTGAAAAATCCCTGAAGAAGGTTCTTGGAGCTAGAAATCATTCCTCTTATTCCTAAACAAGGAGGGAGAGAGCAAGTGCATGCTTCCCACTAAAAGAAAAATGAGTAGGACCAAGTACTTTTTAACACTGGAATAAATTCTACATCCTGATCTCAGAAAAAAGAGTACAACATACAGGTTAGAAGCCCCGGTTCAGGGTACAGACACTCACCTGCAATGTTGGCAGAAAGCCAGCCACAGGCTTTCTCAGTAGCCAGTTCCACTGCAATGTCTTCTGCACTACTTAAAACCTTTACAGGGAGGATAACAAGTGATAGGAGATTTACTACCAGCCACAGCACTATAGTCAGTGGTCAGAAGGAAGTCTAGAGGGAAAAGGCTTAATTTTAGCATGCAACATTTAAAAAGAGCAGCACCACCTCTGTAGGAACCGCTACCCTGAGCTATAGGACTGACCCATTTTGCTTTCCCAAACCTCATCAACCCCATACAAACCCCATCAACTCTTGGGCAAGTTGATGCTAAAACAAAAGCATTATCCGTGCTGTATGAATGCAATTTACACACCATTCTAGTCCCAACAGTTAGTTATTGGCTAGAGTATCACTTCACACAGAACTTCCAAGGCAGCCTGGCAAAGATTTCTCTCCTTAGCTATTAGTCTTCACATGAGGGCATCAATAGATTCCATTGTCCCGAGCTATTGAGGGATTAAGTGAAGCAGCAATGGAGAAATGGTAACGCTACAGACAAAGGCAAGGCCTTTAGTAAGTTTTAGTGACAGTACATACTGCTGCAGATGTCTCTTCTGGCAACAACACCCTTACTGCCTCAGGACCTTTCTTTCTGCAAAATCTGCAAGAGAAGAAAGAAAAGGTGCTGCAGGATTAGTCAAAGTTCTTGGACAACATTCAAAGGTTCATTACTGTAGGAACTTTCTCACATGCACTCTTACAGTCAAAACCAGTTGGAAGACTGCAGTGAAGTAAGTCAGACCAAAAGAACCAGGCAACGAAAAAGCAATTACAAGCCACCAGGCTGCAATACTCAGTTTTCCAAAGAAGGGAAATACAATAGCTGCAGTGGATGTCTGTTTGGAGCCGGATGCAGAGGGACACACAGCACCTTTATTCCTTCCTACAAATACGGCATTAACTGGCTGGAGGCGCAGCAGGCCGTCACCCTAAGAAGAGCAGAGGTCAGGGTTTATAATGACCAGAACCTGAGCATGACAGGCCAAGCCGAATTGGGCTTATAGATTCTGCAGTAAGAAGAGACAGGAAGGCACAAGTTTAAATAACTTTTCCTCCTTACTCTCTGCCTCTGATGAGTGCCTGGGCCCCTTCCTCATACAGATGCGCGCACACCTCTTCAAGCAGCTTGTCATGATTAGCGTCCTCCTCCGTCACCTTCTCCTGTAACATGACTTCAGCCCTTTGAACCAACTCTGCTACCAGTGTTGCCCTGTAAAAAACAAGAACAATTAGACAGACTGAAATAAATTCAACAGCGCACACTAACTGTAACCAGCTGTTTTCCCCAATTTAGGAGGATACCAGCCTCTCTCAGGCACAAATGCAATAAACCACTCTGCTAAAAGAGAATTACTCACACTGCGCTTAGCACTGTGCCATCTCCTTGTTCTTTTTACTATTTTGATATCTTCATTACTGCTTTCTTCCTTACAAAAAGGAAGTTGGGCTGACATCAGCAACAGTACAGCCAGCAAGGCAGGGGAAGTTAATGCCTCCTTCATCATGGCGAGGCTGCATCTGGAGCACACTGCCCAGCCTTGGGACCCCAGTACAAGAAAGTCACTGACAATCTGAGTGACTGCAGGAGAAAAAAGTCACTAAGCCAGCTGGAATGCTGGAGCATGCAACCTACAAGGAGACTGAGGGAGCCGGTTTCACTTCGGGGGCAGAGGAGAAGGTGAAGGGGGGAGGGGGAGATGAGAATGTGAAGGGCGGTGGGGGGGAGCGAGGGGAGGAGACGAGAACATGAAGGGGGCAGGGTGGTGACAAGAGGGCTATAGGGAAGACAGAACAACGCTTCCAGAAGTGCACAGCTAAAGGCTGACAGGCAACATGCACAAGCTGGAACAAGGGAAATTCTGATAGGATATAAGGAAGCATTTTTCACAAAGCCTGGGAAAATTAAGCATTGGAACATGGTACTAAGAGGCCGAATCCCCATCCTTGGAGACTTTCACAACTCAGCTGGAAAAGGTGCCAAGCAACCTGATGTAACTTGAAAACTGGCCCTGCTTTGAGCAGGAGTTTGGATCAGATGAGCTCCAGAGATCCCTTCTGACCTGAGATTTTCCTATCGTTAGCAAGAACGTTCTGAAAGGAATAAAGTCGCTGTAGTATGTTCACATTCCAAGTGTCCCACACCCATATAACCCTTCTCTTTGCATCCCTTCGCAAATTCCCCTCTGCAATGGCAATCAGATGTTGCTGGACTCCACAGTCAGAGCCTTATCTGGCTTTGGTGTTCTGCTATACAGCATACTCTGAGGGAAGCTTTCTTTCCCCGACACAATTTTAAAGTATCAACTCTTTGCCTCATTAGTGTAACGTTACTTTTTAAGTCACAGAACCTATCACTAGCACTTACTTGATGTGCTTAACACAGTTGGATCCCACCCTCTCTGCCACAAATTCAACTGTTCTCCGTAGGGACGGAGGCTGGTTGTGGAAGAAGGCCTGTTCCAACTCTGCCTGTTCAAGAGAAAGTGATACAACTGATTAGAGCGCTCCAACCAGATCCTCTTCTCCTCAACACAAGAATGGCCAGAACTACCATCTGGAATTGTGCTAAAAGGCACACAATTCGCCTACACTAAAACTTTCAGCATCCCTGTAAAATGTTTGCTCCCTATTTCCTTCTAACCGTATTACCCAAAGCTCATTATCAGGGTTTATGAAGCTACAAAAGCAAATGCCCAGTACAGGGAAGAATGGGAGAGTTCTGACACCACCTACTAGTAGTGAGGCACCACATAGGGTTTGTTTTTGGAAAGAAAGGATCCTCTCTTTCAATTACAAGCCGGTAATCCTGTAGGCTCCTACAGTTCCTTCTCTTGGTGGAAAGCATGGCTACAATCTAACCAAAACAGAGCATGAGAAACATACCAACATTTTATATTAAAGAAGAGGCAGACTGAGAAACAGGCTAGTTGTTCCAGTGGCAAGAATGTTTACTGAAGTTATCTGGATTTCAACACCCCGATGGTATCCCAGTGACATGGCTATAACAGAAGGAGGAGGAGTAAGGATACCCGACCGTTAAACACAATGTTCCCTGCAGCCTAAGCCCATTCTTTTCTTTCCCTGGCATTAGGATACCACTGTGTACCCCACCCTCACACACACAATTTCTCTTGCCCTGCTTCCCCTTGCGACTCCCTAATTTCATTACCTGCAGTTTCCGCTGTGTGACAGAAGCCTTGGGTGCCAAGGACTCTGCAGCGGTGGGAGTGATTTTCCTTATAAAGCCACCATTTTTTGCTCCACTACCAGCCACAAAAGAGGCAAGTAGTTTCCGCAGCTCACCTGTACAGAAAGACACACAAAAGCAGTCATTATCCCCTTAAGCAAGGGAACAAATCAGAACTCAAGAGAGAGACTTTCACAGTCAGTCCTGTTTCCAGAGCAGATTCTCTCAGCTTCTGTGAAAGCTTAAGTTTCAGTAAAGCAGAGGGGCATCCCACCCATTTAACTGGCAGGGCATAGCAAGGCAGGCAACACTCCGCAGGTAGAAGAGGAGGCTTCCAAAAACCTCCCTGGCACATAGGACTTGTTCAGAAGGATCAGGGAACAATCACTTCTATGCATCCCTTTTTAGCACAGCAAGCGGGAGCTGTAAAGTCTACAGGGACAACAAGGCAAGCAGAGTTACACAAAATTCCAACAGGGTCAGGAGGAAATACCAGGGGAAAAGCACAAAGAGATGTTCAACCCCTAGAAGCTTTCATGATGCAGGTTTAACATACAGTTTTTATAGAAGCTAAGTCCCAAGAAGCAGAGCACTGTCCCACTATCTGGGACTCTGTCTACAGATAGGGATTCCCTCAATTCCCCAGGAAAAAAATAATCTCACACAACAACCTGACAAAGCACCAGGGCACAAAAGGGTTCTTCCTCTCTGCCTGGCAGCAGAAACGTGCTCAAAGATCAAGGCATTCCTCACAGTACAAACACCTCTCCCTATATCTAGGGTGGAAAAGTTGTACACTTACTCCTTATAATGCTCACTTCCCGTTTGTGAAGGATGAGTTCCCCTGTCCCTCTGTATTCAAGCTTTGTAGATCAACTATCCTGACTGTGTAGCCTCCCTCCACCAGCTTCACCAGATACTATTCACAGCCGCATGAGCCTCTGCAATACAGCTTTTTATCAAGATTGACTCATACACAACTGAGACCTGAAGTTGTGAGGAGGAGTAAGAAAGATGATCCGAGGACTCACAGTACCAAAAGGACAAACAAAAAATATAAATAAATACATATTTTATTTATATAGCAAATATAAATAAAACACTCACCAAGATAGGGACAGCAGGTATAAAGTAACTGCTGATCCACCAAGGGTACACAGTCCTGGAGATAAAAGGAAGGAAATGCTGAAAGGACACAGCAGGAAGGAGTCTTCAGCAAGTCAGAACTACCATGCACAAGGTCTCGGGCAACTTTTGTAACTGCCTTTCCATGAAAACAATAAAAATAACTGTATTCCAAATCCACAATAAAATTATGAGCTTTGCAGCCTAAGTGTTCGGTCCAGCCCTGTAACTACACAATGAGCTGCTCTACATTTAGTCAGTGCAGCTCAGCCTTTGCTCCTGATTACTGTTAAAGCCCAGCTGAAAGCTCATGGTCACAGAAGGGAACCAGGACTGTTGGCACAGCTGATACTCGTAAAAGAGAAACCTATCCATGGAGGAGAACAAACAAGGCACATCTGCTATGCATTACACCTCCACAGGTGTCTTCACCCAGCCTCATGGAACACTGCACAGTGCAGTCATGTCACCCCAGTATTACACAGCACAGCCAGAGAGATGGGAGGAAAAGCAACTTCAGATCCCATCCATGCAGACAGTGTCTACTACACTCTTTTGGGAAAAAAAAAAAGAAAAATTCAGTTGCTCTGCATGTTATCTCTGCCACTGAAGAGGGCAAAACAGAACTTTCCAATTAGAAAAAGACACACGTATCTTAGCAAACATACTGCTCATTTTCAAGGAATATTACGCAGTTTGCTAAGATACGTGTTTCATCATGTCTGGCAGTTACCTGAAACCTCACACGTGCCATAAACTCACCTCCTTTTCTGCTTCTGAACTTCTGAACTGAATTTTCTGTTCAACGACCCTTTATCATGCAACTGGAAAACAGGCTGACAGCAACCTTGCTCTTATAGTCCCATCTTACTACTGCTGTTGAGCTCACCATTACTATTACTTATTTCTGGGAAGAGCTACACGTTCTACCAGCTGCAATAATCAGTGAGCAGGAAAAGAGCAAAACTTTGCACCTGTTCTGCAAGCCATTGCAGCAGGTGAGATGGCTCCTGCCTGACAAAAACCCCAGATCTATAACACAGACAGTTCACAATCCAGGATGCAATGCAGCTGAGGCACTTGGACAGACTGGGGCATCACATCTGTTGGGCTACATATGCTCAATGCAGCCACACTGAAGCAAAATTCATGGTAAAATCTTAAACCCCTGACATCGTGGCAGGCCCATCCTCATCCACAGATAGAGAGGAGGTGCTGCTGCTGCACTAACTCACCAAAGCCTGAGCAGATGTCACAGGATCCATCATCAATCCCTCCTGCCTGACATCAGTGGTAAAAAACAACTCTTCAGGGACTGATGGAACCTGAAACAGAAACCCCAGTAGTTACAACCTAAACAGCAGTCAGTAACTTACACCATTTCTGATAAAGAGGACAGCAAAATCTCATCAACCTCCCACCCACAAAAAAACTTGCACTAAGGAACCTCTCTGCCCTAAGGAGAACCTTTCCATAAAATTAAAGATTTAGTTTGATCACCATAACATAAGCTGCCTTCCCACCCTCCCCCCATACATCTTTCACCTTTACAACAGGTTCCTAATAACGAGTTACCTTGCTCCCACGCAAGGAAGGCACAAAAGGATTTTAAAAGTTCATCAGACACCATCCCTTTATCAGACAAAAAACTCCCCAGTAATTTAATGCAATTTAACAAGGGCAAGT